TGTAACTATGGAACATTATTGAATATTATATAACAATAAGGATTGCTTCCTGGTGTAATTGGGCCGACTCAGGGAATCAGAGAGAGCTTTCCTAGCTGGGAGTTTTCGCACTAATGAGGGTTATTGTTCTGTTTAGGAATCAAAGCATTAAATGGGAAGCTCCCACTCATCCCCCAGGCCATCAGAGAGCAAAGTGAATTTTACCACCAACCCGTCAGGCAGCAAGTTCAAAGTAGGTGACCAAGAACCAATTTTAGGTGACTCGCTCTGGTCAAAGATGTCAGAGGGTTTAGAGTGGAAGCAGAAGCCTGTTGCAATGGCACATGCCTGTAATCACAGCAGCTCAGGAGGCTGAGGCAGGAGGATCGTGAGTTCAAAGCCAGCCTCAGCAAAAGTGAGGCACTAAGCAACTCAGTGAGACTCTGTCTCTAAATAAAATACAAAATAGGGCTGGGGAGGTGGCTCAGTGGTTGAGTGCCCCTGAGTTCAATCCCTGGTACAAAAAAAAAAAAAAAAAAAAGAGAGTGGAAGTAGAAAGCATATGGGGGGGGGGGATTATCTGGAGAGGGTGATATCTTCTCTTGGGCAGGGGTGGCTCATGCAGGCCACAGACATTGCCTGTAGTTACAGGAAGCTGTCAGGGGACCCTGGCCCTTGAAACCTGGCAGTTGAAAGGCTGGTGGAACCATTCAGGACCAGGCTGTCCTCTTCGAGCTTTCCTGAGCCAAGCACGTCTAGCTGCCTGTCCTGAGCCAGACACCGACATGCTCATGACACCTGGCCAGAGCATCGGCTCAGCTCCTGTCTGTCCTGGCGGAGGCTGGCAGTGCTCTCCCTTCCCGGAAACTGAAAAATGCATAAGCAGCTGCCAGAAGGAAGCCAGTTTGCCCAGGTGGGTGGGTGGGTTTGGTGGTGGTGGGCTTCCTCCAAAGGGAAAAGCCTGCTTTTAATATGGCAGCCCCAAGAGAAGGGGCGTCCTGTGAGTGTCAGGCAGGTAGTAATGCCAGGTACATAGCGATCCCCTTGCTGGACTTGCCAGGTTCCTCCCCACATCCCTGCTTCAACCCTGGAGAAGACAGAAAGGGGACAGCTGGGTTGGCAATACAGGAGAAAGTAAAGACCGCCAGCCCCTCCCTGCCACCAGTCATGGCAGCCCCAACCGGGAAGGAGCGGATGGAAGTTTTGATCTGGAATCAGACATTTCTGGGTAACGAATTGTAGCTTCTGACTTGCACAGACTGTCAAATGTCCTCCAGAAAAGTCACGGGATGCCTGGTCCCACTCAAGGTCAAGGGCAGCTCTCCCTTTTAGAGGCGCAGGGGAGACAGTCATGCAGGGACCACACCCACAGGGCAGCTTTTCTGGCTGCTAGGATGCAAGCATCTGCCTGGAAGATGCCCCTGGGGGAGGTTTTCCAGGCTCTTCCCATCTCAGAGCAGCAGCCCCCTCCCTCTCTTGGCTAGAAGAGTGAGCTACCATCCTCTTGGCCCTGTCTCTCTGGCTCCGTCAAGAAGCTGCAAGGCCATGTGACCTGGATGGGCCAATCAGATCCTTCCCTGGGAATTTTTCCTTCTCCAGTTCCCCTTCCTTGGGCCTCCAGCAGGAAGTCTGTGAGTTTCCGCCATTCCTGGTGCGCTTACGAGAAAGACCCCCACACAGAGAGATCTGGGGGAGGAGGACCAGTGTGACTCCCTGGTTCCTGTCTGTCCCTCCCAGAGGGGCCTGGTTTTTGCTAGGTGACAGACAAGACTACCTGCCCACCATGCCAACCACACCTGTGCTAAAGACCCTCAACAAAACTGCAGTTGTTGGACGCATCCTCAGCCTGTCCAGGCGTTTTGTAAATATGATGTTATTTTGTCCTTCCAACCACTTTGGGGGCAAAGAAAGATCATCTTTGTCTTACAAATGAGAAGGCGAAGTACCCTGAACTCAGGCCTGTCAGCATCCTGGGCCAGCTTCCGGCCTTCTCTCTAGGATCTGCCTTCTAGGGACCCCCTCCGCCAAGGCCTATGGTCATTCCAGGGCCTCTAGACTCTGGTTCCCAAGAACCAGTCACAGGGACGTAAGGGAATGGATGGGTTGGGGGACATGGGGCAGGGTCCCACTGTTTAGATAGGAGTGTCCCAGCTAGGGGCAGCAGCAGGTGCAAAGGCCCTAGGGTGGGTTTGCAGAGTTGGGGGACAATCAGGGGGCCAGGTCCACACAACTAAGAATGGATTCCTCAAGGGCTCGGTTCCAGGAGGCAGATGCTTCTCAATGCAATTCTGAAGCCAGAAAGAAGGAGTATGGGGAGGGGTCAAAAACCCCCAATCTGTCCCCATTCAGTCTAGGACTGAGATTCAAGCAGGTTCCACCTTGGGTTTACTCAGCCATGAGATGGCTGGGAGGACAGGGGACCCCGGACTGCAGATGTGCATCAGGAAGTCCAGAGCCCTGCACCCACTACCCACTAGAGGAGCCGGGCTAGGGCCCGAGAGCGCCCCTGACCCAGCGCTCTGGCAGCCTCCCCACCAAGCCGACCTTCCCGGGAAGAAGCATGCGCTGCTCCCCCAATCTGGAAAGCATTGAGCCGATGGCTCTGTTTCAAGTGCAATTATTACAAACCCTTCAGGGAACGTGAGCTCCGAAATGAAATCTCTCTGTCAAAACTTTCATTAATGTGCCGTTTGGTGCTGGAATCGGCTTACACACACCCCATGCCCGTGAGCGCGGGATGGAGGCCAGATGCTTGGGGGGCTGGGGGGCAGGGGACCTGTGCCAGGCCCCCCTCACCTTTGCAAACCCTGGAGAGAATTCACGTCCCGCCTGGATCTGCCAAGGACAGTAGGCTGTGCTTGGGAAGATGTCCCTCGGAGTTCACCCACTCCTTGGCACGCACATCCAGAATATGCTACTGCTTACCGGTCTCAGAGAGCCCTCTCCAGAGGTGAACCGACGTTCTGGGGCAGCCCGGAATCACCCTGGGGTGTGCCGTGGCGCAGTGTGGCCAGTGCACCATGAGCTTGCAGAGCGCCGTGTCTCAGGCAGGGTCACAATTTCCCAGGTGAGGAAGCAAGGCTTAGAAGCATCGGTCGCCAAGGTGTTCAGAGCTGGTGTGAGAACCCAGGGCCCCCTGTCCAAGCCACTTTCTGGGCTGCTATGCACATCTGGGTCTCTGCTCTTAATTACTAGTGTACCTTAGCCCCCGAGAATAGGGGGCCCAGGATGAGCACCATGGATCTAACTCAGGGAACAGCCTCAGTCTTACTTTTCCTGTGTTAAAAGTCAGATTGACAGGGGCCATTGGTTTGGACGAGGCCCAAAAGACCAAAAGACCAAATCAAAATGGAGTCACTCATGCTAAGGTTCCAGGCCCACCAAGCTGAAACTAAGTTTTGTGGCTGACCTTGTGAGAAATCAGGAGAGGGACATAATCAACGGAGCCCTGGACAGGCCGTGGTAGTGGGGAGCACACTATCTCTGCTCCTTTGCTTTTCCAATGCAAGGAAAGAAACTTCGAAGCCTCAGATCTGCTTTTGCGCTGTATCTGCTTTCCTCCGCCTTTTTCTGCCTATAAAGCCAGTGTCTTCTGCTCAGCTCACACTATGAGGTGTGGCCTGATTCTAGAATAACAAACCAAAGCCAATCAGACCACTAACCTGTCTCTTGATACCTGAAAGGTAAACTAAGGGCTTGGGGAAATTCCTGGACCAGCAGCCCTGAGCTTCTGAGGGTGCAGGACCTGCACCTCCTCCTCCAAGAACCCACATCCCTGTGTTCTTCCATATTATGTCACCTGGGTTATTAATCCACATCTGGGTCTGTCCTTTTGCTAACTGGCCTGATCTTCGGGGTGTCGTTCCCTTTAGAATCTCCAGCACACTCAGCCCAGGGCTGATAAACAGACAGTGGTTGAACAATTTTGGCTCTACCACTGAGTGGCCCACTCATACAGGTTGTGGGTTCAAGTCCCAACTCTGGCACGTTCGAGCTGGGCTAGCGCAGGCAAACGAATCAACTTCTCTGGGCCTTGGTGCCCTCACCTCAAAGTCTCTCAGGATGGTTGCAGAGTATAATGAAAACTAAGATGTTTTTTTAAAAGCCCAGCCCAGTGCCTGACACACAAATGCTCAGTGTATCGACATGAGATAGGAGAATCTTTCTGTTCCCCAGTCACAGGTCCTGGCTGCAGACACTCAGTTGCACAGTGACCACCAGGCCCTCCTGTCAGTAGCCATATGGCTGAGGCCCTTTTATTATGTGTCACTCAGATGAGGACATGAAGCTTTGGTTCCTGGAAGATGCAAACTCCTGCCAGCCCAGGAGGCCGACAATCCAAGCCACTCTTTGCCCCTGGGCGAGCCCTAATGGCTCCTGCCAAGAGTGACCTGGCATCCACCCTGTGGCCTGGTCACAGACGACTGGTGCACAGATCAGCTGGTTAGGACCTCTGCCTGGTAGCAGGGCTTTATTCTGGACAGTGGCAAATGACATGGGGAAAAGCAGTGTCCAGTTGTCCAGGAAACATGGGGCCACCAGGAGCTGGCCGTCTGCACAACCCTGAGCCATCTCTCTGGTTGTGAGTGAGGCCTTTGAAGCCCCCAGGCCCCAGAGTGCCCAGATGTGGCCACAGTGCTCTGGGCTGTCCAGGTGCCTGTCTGTGTCCTTGCCCTGGACACCTGAAGATGGCTGGTTTCTCTGGGGAAGAAGGGAGATCAAGTCAACATGCTTTGGAAAGCTCTGACGCCCCGAATCTCCAGCGCCTGGTCTGCCCAACATCCGGGCTCTGTTACAGCCGAGCGTGCTCTGAGCTTCCAGCTGGGGCTGATGGCTCCTCATCCCGGGCGGCTCCCTGATAGCTGGACATTCTCAGCAGATAGTGTAATGCCTCTTTAAGACAATTCTCAAGATCTTATTTTTTTTTTCTCCAGGCCAGAATAGTATAAGGTCAACGACTCCCTGAAACCACAGCGGCTCCTTTGGCTGCCTTTGCCAGAAGGAGGTGCAGCGGGGACGCCAGGGCCTGATGAGCACCGTGCCTCTCCCTGCAGAGGAGATGGATCGCAGCCATTTCTGGGCAGCACAGAGAAGCCGATGCAGAGAAAGGGTCTTGAAACCTGCGGTGCTCTGGGCAGCATGCGCTGCTTATCACGGTGCCTGGCAAGGCCAAGTCACGTCCACGCCATTAAACAAGTGCAGCTGGACTAGGCCTGGCCCCCGGCCACACCTCCCTGGACTGGATTCACTCACTCGCCCATTCAGCAAACCTGCGAGAGTCAGCCCCAAACCACTCTGGAACCTGAGTTCACAGCCCGGGTCCAAAGTGAGAGATCAGGGGTTGGTGAACTTGAATGGAAAGAGAATGAATATCTTTATTTTCCTGAACCTCAAACTGAAATTTAGCATTTTTTTTCTATTACGAACAGAGTAACAACATCTGCAAAAATGCAGAAGTAGAAGTGCTTATGTCTTCCTTCCCAAGAGAATTTGTAGAAGTTGTGTGCCAATTGCTGTTGCTATCTTGAAATTCCTTTTATGCTCATCACTACTTTGAGATTCTAGAAATCTTCAATTCTACAGTTACATCTTCCTCATTAAGAGTCTTTCCTTATTCGAGATTTTGCTTTTTTGTGGTTTCAATTATCTCTGGTCAACTGGGGTTTGAAAATATTAATTAGGAAATTTCAGAAATAAGTAATTCATAAATTTTAAGTTGCATGCTCTTCTTCTGAGTAGTGTGATGAAGTCTCTTGCCATCCCACAGGGTCCCCCCTGGGATACAAATTATCCCTTTGTCCAGTGTATCCATGCTGTATATGGTACCCCCCCCCATTAGTAACTAAGTAGCTGTCTCAGTTATCAGATGGACTGTCTCAGTATACTACAGTGCTAGTGTTCAAGTACCCATTCTTTTACTAAATAATGATCCCAAAGCATAAGAATAGTGTTGCTCCTAATTTAGATATGCCAAAGAGAAGTTGGAAAATGTTTCTTTTAAGTGAAAAGGTGAAAGTTCTCAATAAGGAAAGAAAAATAGTGTAGACTGAGGTTGTTAAGATCTGTAATACAATAAGATATTTTGACAAAGAAAAAGAGAGACCATGTTCGCTTAACTTTCATTCCAGTATATTGCTATATTCACTCTATGTTACTATTAACTGTTCTTGTTAATCTCTCATGGTGGCTGATTTGTAAATTAAACTTTACCATAATTACATATTATAGGAAAAACATAGTACATATAGGGTTCAGTACTATCTGCAATGTCATACATCTGCGGGGGTCTTGGACTGTATCCCCCTGATAAAGGGGGCTCCTGTATTTGCATGTTCATAAAGAAGCACGTGCCTCCTTCCAAATATAATTTGCTTTTTAAACACATACTTTGATAACTGCATTTCATAGCAACTGATAACCCCGATAGTTCATTATATGCATTTAAAATTACTCCGAGTCTTCACGGACTTCCACACTCAGCTGACAAGGTTTAGGGCACCAAAAGTGAACAGCTACTGGCAGTGGTGACAGCAGCTTTTGGCCAGGGTGGTGAGGACAGAGTCAGAGCCACAGGACCCCAGGGAAGTTGGGGGAGGGGTGCTCACAAAAGAGGTGGGCGGGTGGGAGCATTTCAGCCCAGGGTTGGATGAAGGCAGGAAGGAGAGCCACCGGTGTTTGGGAGGGCAGGGGAGGTGGCCTCTGGCAGCAGCAGGAAGGGAAGGACAGCCCTGCCCAGGCCAGCTTCTTTCCTTGAGCAGATCCCAGCTCCCCATTCCTGTTCTCTCCCATTTTGTTTTGCTTTTCTTAAGGAAAAATTAAGATGCTTCTTCCCACAAGTTCTCGCCCGGTCTCTGGGCCACGACTCCACACTCCACCGCCAGCCCAAGCAGGATTTCCCGGGGGCCCAGGGCCCAGGGAACACCAACAGGGAAAAGCATAACTGACCCATTTCTGCAGGTGAGCGAACTGCTGAGGCTCAGCCGCGTAAAGTTCATGTTCCTGCAGACCCAGAACCTGTGTCTGTCTGTCTTTTTGGAGCTGGGGATTGAACCCAGGGGTGCTTAATCACTGGCCCTTCTTTTTTTTTTTTTTTTTGACAGGGTCTCACTGAGTTGCTTAGGGCCTCGCTAAGTTGCTGAGGCTGGCTTTGAACCTGATCCTCCTGTCTCAGCCTCCCAAGCCACTGGGGATGACAGGCGTGTGTCCCTGCCTGTGTCTTTCTTTCTGCTTTGCCACGGGGCCTGCCCTGAAAGTGCAGCATTCTCAGGAGGACCCTGGAGGACTGCTCAGAAGGTCAGCCGGACAAGGGTTGACCGTGAAGCCTGCCCTGGTCGTCGGGATCCCGCTGCCCAGGGAGCTGCCGCCCATACTCTTGTTCTCAGGCCAGGCCCAGGGTGACCTGGACGCTGCAGATGGCTGTGGGAGTTCCCCAGTGACAAATGCATTTCTCCAATCGAATGCACAGCCTCCCAGCAGGCGGTATTTACGTTTCTCCTGGAATGCTTTTGGTTGTTTTTTTCTTTAATGATTCCCTTTCTTCTCCACCAAACAAAAGCCCACTGTCTGAGCAGTTCCAGGCACCCTGAGCTGTCTGGTGCTCCTGGGGACCACTTGTGTCCCATGTCAGTGGGAGGACGGGGCTGGGTTCGGCTGCTCCCACCTGGCCGTGGTTGTGATAGGGTCATTTGACCCTCGAGGCCCCGTATGCTCATCTCTAAAGGCAACGTGGTGTCTGTATGTGTCCACACCCACAGGGATGTCCCAAGGGTCTGTGGGCGGGCATGTTGAGCTCAGGGTGGCCGCGGGCACACAGGAAGTGCTCAGGACCTGCTGACGGGAGTCTGGCTGTGGGACTTTGGCAGGAACATGAGCGGGTTGGCAAGATGGTCTTGAGGTCCCTTCCAGCTCTGGTGGCCGACTTTAGAATACGGTCATTGGCCCCCACGGTGGCAGATGAGGGAATACACCTGGCACCTCTTTCCCTACCTAGTTAGGCTATACCAGCTGAGAAGATTCCAGACCTCGTTCCTCCCACAACTAGGGAGTGGGCCCAGTCCTCAGCCTGGGCTCCTGACGGCCTTCCTCACCTGCCACGTGTCACCAAGCCCAGCCGCCAGGCTGCCGTGGCAGAGCAGGAAAGGGGCAGGCCACCCCCAACTCCCGCCGCACGTCCACCCTTCTGGGCGCCTGTGAACTAAGACTTTGGCTGAAGAACCTCAGGTCAAGCCCAGGCTCCTCCGGCTCCCAAGGCGAACGCCCTGTTAGAAAGTCCAGATCTAATAAGGGGAGGCCACCTGGCTCTTAAACCTGCACCAGACAAACTCCACACGTCAGGCTTCTACTTAACACCCAGACGTTTACCTAGTGCCTTAGTTAAAGAGGGGACAATCAGGGAGATACCTGTCACAGGAACAGGGTGGGCAAAGGAGGAGGCTGCGGGGAACCTGGCCGTCCCCAAGGCACTCACCAAGGTCGTCATCCTGGGACACATTTCTGGGGAAGAGGATCCTTGACAGTTTTCTTACTTTTGTACAACTTAACCGAGTTGTAAAATATCCAAGAGAAAAGGTGGGGACAGCCCGGGGGACGAGCTGGAGAGACCTGCAGAAACCTTTCCCCCACCCTTCAAAGTCTGCCATTCAGCTGGGAGGATGTTGGACACACAGCAACGTGTATGTCCTTGATACCGCCGAATCGTACCCTTAAAACTGGTCAAAGGGCCAATTTCATCTTATACAAAACTGAAAAATTTTTTAAAAGTCTACGACTTAAAAGATATTCAGTAGCCCTAAAGCCGATGCTGGGTTGCGAAGGGCTCCATCCTGCCCCAGGAGATGGCCTCTGCTGCCCACAGTCCCTCCGGAGCCTGAGGCAGGGTGGCCTTCTTTCATATAGAGGGTGGCCATGTGGGCTGGGGGCCCTGGGGACACAAAGTGATCGGCCCATAGCCTCATGTATGAATGTGGGTACAAAACAGGCCTGGACTCGGCCCCCCTCTCAGCCTGACACCACACCCCAGCAGTGTGGATAATCCTGAGTCTCTTCCCTCCAGAAGGACAGCCTGCAAGTGGGCCAAGGAGCTCAGGAGAGCCAGAAAGGTCACTGGACACCACATCATAAGAGGAAAGGTGGGAGGAACGTGGAGGGGACCCTTCAGCAGGCAGAGGAGGTGGGAATGGCTGGGGTGGCCTCAGGGCCAGCACTAGCCAGGGTGCAGGGAGGGCAGGTACAGTCCAGCTGCCAGACAAGGTCCTCAGAGAGGAGGGAGGGAGCTCCTGGCAGGACAGCAGGAATTGGCCACAACTGAAGGGACATGAGCAGGGTGGAGGCTGTCCTCAAATTCAGCCTCCTCTTTGGCCTCCCTGGTCACTACAGTCCCGGGGGTAGGAAGCCCCTGAGATTAGCCCCTGATGAGTCTCCAAGGCCTGAGACTCATGTGTGACCCTGGCCCAGGGTCCAGAAGACATGTGTCTCCCTGTCCCTCAGGCCCTGATGGAGAGAGCTCCCAGGGACCACACGCCTAGAGGCTGGGCAGCGTCACCCAGGCTCTGAGATGGCCCGGTGAATGTGAGGGCACCCAGGGTGTCTGCAACCCTGGAGTGTGAGAGAAGCAAGGTTGTCACAACAGTCTGCAAACAGTTGTAGGGGACGCCCCCTAGCTGGGGACAAAGCCCTGATCACCGCTCCACCCTCAGGAACAGAAATCTGCAGACCGCTCCAGAACCTTCCCAAGGGCACAGCCTTTATATGCCACAGCGAGGCTTGGGGATGGCTCTGGGCAGAGAACCCCAGCCTCGGCACCGTCTTGGGGTCACACAGCGAGCGGGCTTTGAAGCTGGGCCTCCTTCCAGGCCTGGTTGGCTCCAGGACAGTCCCTTGTCCCCTCAAACCACCTTGCCCGCTGCCAGGAACCCCATCCTGCCCAGGGGCTTTCCGTGTGGTGTCCAGTGTCTGGGTTTGGAGGCCATCTGCTCCCCCTTCTCCCCGCCCTCCTCCTGGCCCCCCTAGTCTGCCCCAACAGCACCCTCGGGCCTCTCCGCCCACGACGACTGGAATCCTGTCCATCGGGAGCCATGGCCTGGCCTCCTTCCTCCCACTCCAGCCCCGAGACTGGGCTTGTCCTGGTATCTGTCTGATGACCACGGGGGCCAAGAAGGGCTGTGTCCTCCCTGGAGATTTGCCCAAAGGCTTTAGGATTAATAGTACAGGCTCTGATTCCAAAATAGCATAAATGACGACCTGGAATCCATTAGGCCCTGGTCCGTTTGCAGGAGGAAATGTGGTCTGTAGCAAAATGAAAGACATCCTGGAACCCATTACGGCCTCCGACAGGAGACAAAGGCAGAGAAGAAGGACATTATGGGATCGACGTGCCTCATAAACGACGTGTTGGCATCTCCCTTCCACCGGGACTTGGATTAACAACAGATGTACTACACTAATGTCGATTTGTATGCTAATCTAAAACAACTGCGGGGCCTTCGCAGACAGGAATTCTATAAATGCGCCCCGTCCTGTTCCCTGCAGCTGCCGGTGGCAGAGGCAGGGCCAGCTGGGGGCCGTGGTGGGGGGCTTCTTCACCCTCCTCCTCCACAGAGCTGAGGGGCGGGGACCCAGCTCAGGTCAGAGCCCCCCGACCCACTCTCCTCAAAGGCTCGGCTGAGGCTGGCCTGCAAACTCTGAAGGGGGGGGAGCACAGGCTCTGGGAGGGACGTGGGACTAAGGAATCCGCCGGGTTCCTCTGTGAGGCTGATGTGACCAGAGGGTGAAGATGGGTCCCAGAATCCCAGAGAATCTCAGAGCCACCAAGGTCCCTAGGCCCCCTGGACACCACCACCATCTGAGATGTGCAACCAAAGCTGAGGGAGACAATGTGACTGTCCCCAGCCACCCCAGGACTCCTCCATCCACTGTCCCCAGGCCTCCCTCCCCATGGCCAGCCCCCCATCCCTGGGCAGCTACAGGTTTGCCAGGACAGGCCCCCTGTTTCCACCTTTCCCAAGGCCTCTTCAGGGCCAGGTCCCGTACAGGACACTGGGGACACAGACAGGTGATGTGATGAAGACCCCTGCATGCAGCTCAGAGCAACTACATAACACCAGACAGCCACCGGCCAGGAGAGGGGACAGAGAAGGAAGTGACCATGAGGACCTCACCCTTTCTGGTCCCAGAAGAATGTCCCAGGGGAGGCTTGGTGGCCTTTGAAGCACCACTGCCTATGACCTAAAAGATGCAAACTCACACGTCCCACACAGGACTCCTTCCTACCCTGGGATTCTGTAGACAGGCCCAGGCCTGGCCTGAGGAGCCAACCTCCTGCAGCCGTGCTCTGAAGCACTCCAGGATGGGCAGGCAGGTGGGCATGCATGGCTAAAACATCCCCCAGAGGCCCAGGCACTAGAGGCTTGTTTCCCAGCCTGGGCACTATTGGAAGGTGGTGGACCCTTCAGGAGATGGGCCCTGGAGGGGGGAGTTACATCATGGGGGATGGTGCCCTTGAGGGGAATGTTGGGCTGCAGCCCCTTCCTGTGTCTCTGTGTGTCCTGGCTTCACCCGAGGCAAACAGGCTTCTTCTGCCACACACTCTCACCATGATGTGCTGCCTCACTCCAGGCCCAAAGGCCATGGCGCCAATGAACATGGATTAAAACTTCCAAAACTGTGAGCTAAACCTTTCCTCCTGATCAGCTGATTACCTCAGGTATTTTGTTACAGTAATGGAAAGCTGCCCAACACAGACACCGTGCTGCCCCCAGGGATCAAACAGGAGAGATGGCCTTGCCTCTCAGTCCTGAGATGACCCTTGGGCTCCTCTCACCTCCCTTCACACCTGCTTCTTCCTCTCTGGTTCTTTCTGCTCCTTGGTAGAAATATACAATTTGGAGTCGGAAGGTGGGATACAAATCTTGGCTCAGTCACTAATTCTCTATCGCATCTTGTAGTCACTCCTTAACATCTTCTGGAATGTTGGACTGCAGAATCTCTGAGAGTTGAAAGAGAACAAGAGAAATGTACCTCACACAGTGTGGACACTCAGAAGGGCTCAGGAAAGCTCATCCCTTTCTATACCAGAGTCATCAAAAAGCTTCATTTTGGGCTGGGGATGTGGCTCAAGTGGTAGCGCGCTCGCCTAGCATGCGTGCAGCCCGGGTTCGATCCTCAGCACCACATACCAACAAAGATGTTATGTCCGCCAAGAACTAAAATAAATAAATAAATAAATATTTTAAAAAAAAAAAGCTTCATTTTCTCCCCTGCACTTTCTTGACCTCTTAAAATTGGCCAGGGTCACATGACTAGTTTGCATTAATACGTTATGAGAGGTTGAGACCATGAAAAGACTATGTAGCCACCCAATCACCCAGCTGTTTCAGATGATGTGACTGCAAGATGGTGGGACTTCTGTCACAGCAGGGAACCCCCTAAGGAGCCATGTGATGCTGTCCTGGACATGAAGCATGAGGAAGACTGGGACTTTGGTT